ATTCACAGTTAAAATGATTTTGTATATAGTATTTCTCGTGTAACCACACTTCAAAAGCTTTGCGAACTAATAACTACATTCAGGAAGGTTACAGAATACAATATCAAAATGAATTGCATTTCTATGAAGTAGCAATGAATTATCCAAAAATAAAATTAAGAAAATGATTCCATTTACATATAATCAAAAAGTGTCAAATGGCCAGGCACTGATGTCTCATGTCTGTAATCCTAGCTACTCAGGAGGCTAAGATATGAGAATCTGAATTAGAAGCCAGCCTGGACTACTTTCCTGAGACTCTTATCTCTAGCCACAAAAATCCAGAAGTGGAACTGTGACTCAAGTGATAGGGTGTTAGCTTTGAGCAAAAGAAGCTCAGGGACAGCACTTAGGTCCTTAGTTCAAGCCTCAGGACTAACACACACACACACACACACACACACAAGAATAAAATAGGTAAGGTAAATAGTTCAGTGGAATAGCACTTGTACAGCAAGTAATAGGCTCTAGGACTTGATCCCAAGCACCACAAAAAAAAGAAAAGAGTAATAGATTTAACTAAAGAAATATAAGAATTGTGTGTCAAAAATGAAAAGAAAAATTAAGAAACTAAAGAAAAATTAAACATAAAGGCACACTAGGTTTCTGAACTGGAAAATGATATTGTTTGGGTGGTATCACTCTGCAAATGAGCCTACAGATTTACTTTCATCCCTATCAAATTTTAAACTGACATCTTTGCAGAAAATTATGGATTTCAAAGTTCATGTTGACATTCAAGTACCCAGAATAGCCAAAACAATACTGAAAAAAAGAGAAGAAATTTAGTGGCCCAAATTTCCCGATTTTCAAACTTCCTTTAAAACGGTAGTAATCAAAGCAGTGTGGCACTGGTTTTAAGCATAGGCACATAGATCAATGAGACAGAAGTAAAAATATAGAATTAAACGCTAACACTCATGATTAATAAGTTTAAGAAGTGTTCCAGGCTATTTAATGAAAAAAGAATAGTTTTTTTTCCCCAAGAAATAGTACTGAGGCAACTGGATATCTACATGCATAAGAATGAATTTAGACCCCTATTCCACATTGTATTAAAACTCAAAATGAATCATAGACCTACTAAATGTGAGACATAAAACTGTAAATCTTAGAGAAAAGTATATATAGTCATAACCATTTTAGATGTTTTCTTAGCCATGGCATCAAAAGTATATATGCAGAATGATAAAAATAAACTGGGCTTAATAAAAATGAAAAGAAAACTTTTGTGTCCCAAATGACACCATCAAAAATATTAAAAAGACTATTCACTGAATGATTCAAAATACTTGTAAATCATGTATCTGATATGGGAATTGGATCTAGAGCAAACAAGTCTCTTACTAGTGAACAATAAAATAACAAGAAACCAATTTAAATATAGGCAAATATTTTGAATAGAAAATTTGCCAAAGAAGACATAACCCTTGTGACTATCCCAGTGAAATATTTTCAAATCATTAGTAATTATAGGAATGTACATCAGTCTACAAGAGGATAGCACTTCAGACCAATTCAGATAGATAAAACTGAAAGGAAAAACAATAAGAAGCCTGGTGAGATATGCAAAAATAGGGACGTTCATATACCATTGGTGTGAATATGATATGGCAATTTCACATCAGAAAATAGTTTGGCAGTTTCTCCAAATGTTAAAACAGCACTCCCATGTTAACCATCAACTGTTTAAGGGGAGGTACTAGGGTCTAAGCTTAGACCTTCACACTTGAAAGGCAGGCACTAGATCCATTAATCCTTACCTCGTTTTTGCTTTTACTGTTTTTGTATTAGGGTCCAAAGGATTGAAACAAGTGTTCAAAATATACTTTTGAACAAATATTCATAGCAGTACTGTTCAGAATAGCCAAAGATGGAAAGAAACCAAATATACACAAGCTGGTGAATGGATTTTTTGTTCTGGTCCTGGGGCTTGAACTCGGGACCTGGAGGTTGTCCCTCAACTTTTTGTTTGTTTCATTCAAGGCTAGCACACTACCACTTGAGACACAGCTCTACTTAAGGCTTTTTTTGGTACTTAATTGAACATAAAGAGTTTCATGTACTTTCCTGTCAGAACTGGCTTAAAACCCAAATTCCCAGATCTCAGCCTCCTAGGATTACAGGTGGGATCTATCAGTGCCCAGGTGGATGAATAGATTTTTTAAAATGTGGCTTATCACTTAATGGAAGAATATTAGACAGTGAAAAGAAATGGAGTACTACTACATGCTGCAACAATATATGCTGAAAGAAGCTATTCTCAAAAGCATATATTTATGATTATATGAAATGTCAATAATATTCAAGCACATGGAGAAAAAGTAGATTAGTGATTGCTAACAACTAAGAGGGCTGGGGGTATAAGAGGTAAGTGCACAATCTGCAGCTACATACAGTGCTTCTTTATTGGATGATGAATGTTCTAAAATTAGATGTCCACTACGGATGACTAACTTTGAAGATACTGAATACAATGAGCTGTATACTTTAAGAGTGTACATTTTAGCCGGGAGCTGGTGGCTCACTCCTGTAATCCTAGCTACTCAGGAGGCTGAGATGTGAGGATTGCGGTTCAAAGCCAGCCCGGGCAAGAGAGACCGTGAGACTCCTATCTCCAATAAACCATCAGAAAACCGGAAGTGGCACTGTAGCTCAAGTGGTAGAGCGCTCACCTTGAGCTGAAGAGCTGAGGGACAGCGCCCAGGCCCAGAGTTCAAGCTCCACGACCGACAAAAAAAAAAAAAAGTGTACATTTTTGTAATAGATGAATTAGATATCAGACTGATACTTTTGAAAGTTGAACTGTTTCCATTTAAGGTCAAAGTATTACTTCTCCTTACTCAAAGAAAACCATTATAATCTACCTTCCCTCTGGACATGGTACCACATTAGGGACTCACCTCTGGCCCAAGCTATTGGCAGATTACCAACTCAATTGTCATCTGATAGAGAGGTAAAGGAAGTCAAAACTGTTGATCAATTTCACAGCCATTTTGTACTTGGGACCATTGAGAAAGCACAGGGATACAGAGGGATTAGGGAAAGGATGAATGATATCTGCAAAGATGTTCACTTTGAATTCCTAATTATTGAGAGTTTCCTCTATAGTAGATGCCCTTCGTGGGTATATTTATTACATGAATTAACAGATATGAACTATTTAGGGAGCAAATGATATGATATGCCTTTAGATCTCAAGAGCTTTCCAATTGATAAAAACAGACCGAATCTTGGTTACAGCATCCATCCTGAGGGAGCTCTGCATCCCTGTTTCTTTGAAGGATGGGACTGATTGCTCTCATACTCCCTCTTCAGAGTAAGCCCCTGCCGACAGACAATGCTTCTGAGAGTATGGGAAAACTGAGTAACAGAGATTTCTCCTTCCTGGACACTGCACTCTTAAACTTTTCTTCTCTTACATTGGAAGGGTGAGTCTCTTTTGGAAAATTAATTGAGATAATCTTTTAAAAAATTAGAACAAAAAACTCACTCAGCTCTTTTGTGAGGTGAGCACAGGCAGAGAACTTTGTATTTTATTTGTGAGAAAATTAGAATCAGAAATGTTTCAGAGTTCTTTTGAATTTTGCATGGTTTGCATAGTTTTTAGCCATTGAATATATATGTTCTGAAATCCAAAATGTCACCCAACTCTGCAGCAAGGAGAAAAGCTTTATGTATACTCCTTATAGGGGCCAAATAGGGTCTTTGGCCTTTTGTGGACTATATAGAAGTAGAGGGTCTCATCACCAAGAGGACTCCAATAGAAGAGGGGTTGTTAACAGGGAGTGTAAGTAGAGGGTACAGTAGGACAGGAATGTTCACCAGATTTGGTAGCATCTGGAGTAGAGTGACACCACTTCTCAGCTATGTAAACTTACATAGGCACATGTGAGAACTACCTTCAATCCTGCCCCCACCCCCAACCAGGTGTTTCAGACTGGCCAGGGTTTTGCTACTGTCAGGGAGCCACCTTAGTACATATCACATTGTTGGCATGTTATCTGATACACCAGGCAGTCCTATGAGGTTATTATTATTCCCATTTTATAGATAATAAGACTAACCCTCAAAACAGTGGTTAAGTACTAAGTTAACTTTGTCAGCTATAGGTCCCAGAGGTAATGTGAATTTTACTTATGGCACATTCTGACAATAGAAATGTTTTCAGCTCTCCTAAGAACATTTAACTGAGCAATTGCTTATTATGTATTTTTTCTGGTTTTAGTTTTGAAAAATTTTTATTATGGCAAACATAATCCATATTGTTTAGGAAAAAGTGGGGACAGGAGAGAGAGAGGGAAAAAAAACCCAGTGCTGGTGACTCATGCCTATAATCCTAGCTACTCAAGAGGCTGAGATCTGAGGATTGCAGTATGAAGCTTCCTGGGCAGAAAAGTCCCCATGAGACTCTTATCTCCAATTAACCACTCAAAAACCAGAAGTGGTGCTGTGGCTCAAAGTGGTAGAGCACTACCCTTGATCAAAAGAGTTCAGGGACCTCACCTTGATATCCTGAGTTCAAGGTTCACCGCTGACAGACAGACAGAGAGGGAAAGCCAAAAATGTGACACAGAGGAGCCACTGGGTAGTAACAGATTTAAAAGAAATGGTAGCAACGCCTACTGATCAGGTGACACCCAGGGAAGCGCTAGATGGCATACTACAGGAGAATGGTATAGAACAATGATTCTGTCAGGTTGTCAGACTTACTTTTCAGTACAGGAGAGATCTATTTTTGGTCATGGAGTAGGAATGACCATTGCTGAGGTTTCATACAGTTTGTTTTCTCTATGTACAAATGCATTGTGCAAACATAGTTACATTTTGATAAAAATAGGCTGATGCCATATATGCAGTTTGGTGAACTGTTTTTTATTATTTTACAATGTACATGCATGGGTGAAAATCCAGTACTAAAAGAGAGAGCACTGTATTTGAGTCAAAAGGCTGCTGGTAAGGACAGTGACACCTAATGCAAAGTATCAGCTTAAGGTTAAAAGCACAGGACCTGGAGCTTATCTACCAGGAAAAGCAGGGTGTGCAAAGTTCTCATCAGAGAAATCAGAATCTAAGGCCAAGGGCGTTAAAGGTAGGGGATATCGTGTAAACCTCTTTGGCCTCTTCCTCCGCCCCTCACTCCCCTGACACCCCGTTGGCCCCTTGGGGCGAATGCATCCTGAGCATCTCTTTGCATCCAGTGACATCCTCCCATTTTCTGTTTTTTCCTTAGCTCTTCCTGAGCCCTGGACATATCAGCACACTCTCTCATCATCTCCTCACTGCTCAGATGCCTGTCCTGTAAGTCCTCCCGAGAGTTCTTGGGAGAGTCATCCGTGGTCCCGCGGTCGGTTTTTCTTTTTGCTTTCCGGGGCACGTAATCTTCAGCCGGACGCTTTTCGGCGGCGCGCGGCTCGCTGGCTGCCTTGGCCTGGGGCTCTGCCTTGCCCTCACCTGGTGGCTGGCCCTCATCTTCTGACGACTTTCCCTGCTTCCCTGACTTGTCCTCATCCGGGGGGTGGCCCTCCTCCTTTGGCCCTCCCTCACCCTCCAGCTGGCCCTCGCGTGCTGCGTTCCCCTCCTCTTCTTGATTCCCTTCTTCCTCTGACTTCCCTTCAGCCTCAGGTTCTACTTCATCGTCTGACTTTCCCTCCTTGTCCAGCTTGCCCTCGTTTTCGCTAGAGAGTTTCTCCATGTCGCGATGGTGCCTCCTTTTCCTGACCTGGAGGGTAGGGGTGAGGGAAGAGGAGACACGAAGAGTGAGGGCTCCTCCAGTGTGGAAAGGGGTGTATCTCGTCCCTATGGGGGTCTCCAAGTGCCCTCCTACCTGCCCCTAACCCACATTTTCCCCCACACGAGCCAACCATTCCCAGGCTGTCTGGCCCTGCTGTCCTCTCCTTGCTCCCTCAGTACAGCTAGGTGTGTGCATTACAGGTGGGGGTCGGGGACAAGCAGCGAAACCCACATCCTGCCCTGGCCAGGCCCTCCGTACTCTCAGCCCTCCGGAGTCCCTGTCCATGCTGCCACCTTCCACTGACCTGCAGAGATCAGGACAGGTTGTGCCTCCTTTTCAGGCCTGGCACAGCGCAGGGAACAGCAGACGCGCAGACCTGCGGACAGACAGACGGGACAGTTGGACCAGGTTCCTCTCCAGAATCCGGACCCTGCTCACCGAGCTTTCCCTCTGCTCCCCTCCATCCACCCTCAGCCTCCACCCGCGCACCCCAGCCGCCATTTCTTCTCAGGCCCTGGCTCCAAACCAGGATGCTTTCCAAACTACCTCTGGATCTGTGTCCCCTCCCTCCCCAGAGGCGCCTTGCCCCGCCCCCACTGCCTTTGGGTTGGGATCAATTTGTCTTCTTGGGCAGGCGCAGAGCGCGAGGGGAGGGGGGTTGTTTCCAGAACGCGTCTACGTTTTCACCGTCGCACTGCGGGGTGCACCCCCCACCCCATTGCCTACTCTAAAATGGATGGAGGGCTGGGGGTGGGCAAGGCAGCTGAGCCTCCGCAGGGTTCGCCTTCCCGCCCTGTCACCCCTCCCCAGCTGCCCTGCCCGCTCAGTGCCCCTCTCCTCACCAGTCTGGCTGATTCCTTCCCCACCCGGTTGCAGCAGCTGCTGCTCCTGCATCCAGCTGCCATCCACCTCCACCCCTGACCTGGGTCAGCTGGCAGCGTCCACCTCCACACTAACCTGAGGGGACTCAGGACAGGCCTGCGTCTCCGCGGGCTCGCAGAAGCCCGCTCGCCGCTTGCCTGCAGCCCAAGCTGCTCAGTGAGCTAGCTGGTTGCGCGCGCGGGCACCAGGACTGGACAGTAGGGCGGGCGCGGGGCTGGTGCCCACGTCGGCGCCTGGCCGGTCACGTGAGTGTCGCGTCACCCTCGATCGCCTCCCCCCCCCCCCACTCCTGACCCATCTCAACCCCATCCTCAAAGGACCAAGAAGACACAGGCTGTAGGTGTGATGTGGTGTGGTGTGGTGTGGTGTGGGGTGTGTGTGTATGTGTGTGTGTGTGTGTGCACGCGCGCACGCGCGTGTGTGTTGAAGCCAAGAGTTACAGAGAATTGGGGCTTTCTGATCCCAGGTGCTTTACCTGGCATGGCTCACAGAAACGGTGCAACCCTCTTAGGTGCCCATTACAGGTGTGACATCCGATCAGAGCGGGTACTCAACTTTCCCAAAAGGCACAACCAACTTTTAAAACCAACTCTGAGCAATGTGGCTCAGGCCTGTAATCCCAGCAATTTGGGAGGTCAGATAGAAGAATGGGTAGTTCGAGTTCAGCCTGGGCCTTTTAGCAAGATCCTATCTAAAAATTAAAAAAACAAAAACAAAAAACCTGAAACACAGAAAACCAAGTTCAGCCTTACTACAGAGGTTGATGGGAGTGCCTATCAGGGAAAGGAGCTGCTTACCTGAAAGGTAGTATTCTACAAGGTTATGTTCTGGACATTCTCAGTTCATAAGTTCTGACCCCCCTGTAAATAGCATTCTTTTGCCTCTTAACCTGAATGACTCCTCACACTGCATCCCCAGGCTACTCGTTCCCCAAATCTCAGACCCCTTTTGTTTTCCCACCAGTAATAACAGGTGAGTGCTCCCTAATTCTTTCCAACATAACATACAACATACTTTTAAATTTTCACTAACATGATAAGTTGGGAGGTAGTATGTGAATGATGTTTTGTTTTGCTTTCTGTATATGTAGGATTTTATTTTATTTTGGGAATTGATTGTGTGTTTTGCACATTTTTCTAGTGAGGGCTTTAAATGTTCTTCATAGGTGAACTTTATTAAGCCTTTATCTACTTAGCATATGTTGCAAATCTTTTCTTGCAGTTTTGCCTTTTTTTTACTTTATGACAGTTTTCTGCCATGTATTAAAAATGCCAAATTTATCAAACTTTTGCTGCCTCTGGATTTTGATTAATAATAAAGACACCCTTTCCTACTTGTGGCCAAATAATTCACCCATATTTTCTTCTAGTATACATTGGTTTTACTTGTCTACATTTCAAATTTATACTTGTGTATAATGTGAAGTATGGATCTCAGTGTAAGAAGCTAGATTTTTTCTCCCCCAATTGTCTTTGCATTGCTCCAGTATTATTTGTTAAAAAGCCCATCTTTGTCTCAGTCATGTGAGATTCAACCTTTATTACATACTAACTTTCTATATATACTTGGGAAACTTTCTGGGATTTCCATTCTTTGTCCTTGATGTGTTTATTCTTCACACACTAGTTTGAATTATAGAGGATATAGTAAGTTCATATACCTGAAACTGTTAGCCTTCCTAATTTATGCTTTCCAGGCAGGAAATACCATTATAAAAACAGCCAAAGCAAACAAAATCTCTGGAATAAGATTCAATCATCCTAGATCTCAAATTATTCCAATAAACAATTGCTCAGGTGCAGTATCCACGAAGATAGGAGAAGCACAAGAAAGAAAGATGGCATGAGTACAAAGTAGTAGATAATAGGAAACGTGGACAGACCTGTCAGATTTAAATGATTTGAATTACTGATACAGACTGTTAAACCATTATGATTAGTGTATTCAGGTAAATAAAATAATCTTGAAGATTCCAACAGGGAAGTAAAAGCAAGAAACATGAAAAAAATCAAATGGAAGCTGTTTTATTAAGTGAACTAGAAAGTAATTTAGATAAATAGTAATTTAGCTAAATAGATGGCTTTTAAAAAGCTTGAAAGAGAATTAAAAGAAGGACTAAAACTTATGCTCAGATGACAGTGTAAGTCTCCATAAGGTGTAAAAATGATGAAAAATATATAAGGGAGGATGTAAGATACAATAGAAAAAGTGACAAGTTCTACCATGTTTATTTGCACTTTCAGAAGATAAATACAATTGTTCAGAAGCAATCTCTGAAAATGTAATGACTGAAGAAGATATTTTATAACTGATGAAAGGCACTGATCCATAGATACAAGAATTCCAACAAACCACAAACAGAATCTATAAAAACAAACTTACACCAATATTTATAATACACCAGTCTTCTCTATCCATAGTTTCATATTTTGTATTTTCAGTTACCCGTGGACAAGTATAGTCCAGAAATATTGAAAGGGAAAATTTCATGAATAATTCATATTTGTGCCAGGCAATTTTGACTCACATCTGTAATCCTGTTATTCAAGAGACTAAGATCTGAGGATGGCGATTTGAAGCCAGCTGGGGCAAGAGAGTCCAAGAGACTCTTATCTCCAATTAACCACCCCAAAAGCAAGAAGTAGAATTGTAGCTTAAGTGGTAGAACACTAGCCCTGAGGAAAAAGTGCTCAAGGACAGCACCCAATCCCTGAGTTCAAGCCCCAGGACTGGCACAAATAATAATAATAATAATAATAGAAATCACATGCCGTTCAGAGTAACATGATGAAAACTTATGTTGTCCTATTCATCCTCTTATGTAACATATCTGCACTATATGTGCTATCTACCTGTTGGTTGATTACTTTAATTATAAGCTTGTTGTGGTATTGTAGTATTTGTGTTCAAGTAATTATTATTTTATTTAATAGTAATCCCCAAATCACAAAGGTCTGAAGCTGGCAATTAAGATATGTTACAGAAAAGACATACTACTGTATGTCTTTGTTTTCTCAGTCATGGGAATTGAAATTAGGGCCTACGCACTGACCCTGAGATTTTTCGCTCAAGGCTTGTTCTCTACCACTTTGAGCCACAGTGCCACTTCCAATTTTCTGGTGGAGATAAGAGTCTCATAGACTTTCCTGCCTGGGCTGGCTTTGAACTGTGATCTTCAGATCTCAGCCTCCTGAGTGGCTAAGATTACAGGTGTGAGTCACCAGTGCCCCATTTACAGTATCTTTTTTTTTTTTTAAAAAAGCAAAATTGTATTAGTTCTTAAAAAACAAAAAAATCATGCTATTAGTTTGCTAATATGTATAGTAAGAATTAATCTTTTATCCATGCAATTTTGAGAAAAGAAAAAAGTTCATGCTAACATTGCTATTGGACCTCAAACTACAAATTTATGGCCACAGAACATGGTAAGGTGTTAGTTAAATTATAGAGAAAAGCATTAAATTATAGGATTTAGTACTATCAAGTTTCAGTCACTCATTCAGTCATTGTGGATCTCACAACATATCCTACATAGAAGGGCTTGGGGGAAACTCAGACAGTTAATTAACAGATAATCAAAGGAAAAGGGAAAATTTTAAAGTAGCCAGAAGAAAGCTTATGTTTCAAAAGACACAAGTTAAATGGATTGCTGTCTTCTTCTAAGAATGGAAGTACGAAACATAAAGGAAATAGTAGAGAGTATTTCTCACATAAAAGGAAAATTATCTGAAATGGAAAACTGGAAATGGAAAAGCAGCAATTAAAAGGAACAAATGTTTGTATAAATGTATATAAAATTGTCAGTACCCTACAAACAATAATATTGTCTAACACATACAACATGAATTAAGAGGGCCAAAGTAAAATATTTCAAGCATTTGCAGTATGTAAGGTATGTGTAAAAGTATACATTAGTATTAGCCTTTTATTGGATGGACTATGTGATAATTGCTGGGTAACAAGAAGCAACAGAAGACTGTAAAATGTCCACATTAATAAGGGAAGAAAGAGAAAAATGAAGAGAAAGTTGGGTTTAGTGGCACAAAGAGAAGGAAATTTATCCAATGGTTAAGTTATTAATAGTTATGTTAGTATAGTCTACATGCAGCAATTAGAAGATAAAGATTTTTTTAGACTAGAAATAAAGCAATTAGGCAAAAATTCAGTAATTATAGCTGAGTGCTGGTGGTTAATGCCTTTAATCCTAGCTACACATGAGGCTGAGATCTGAGGATTGTGATTTGAAGCAAGATCAGGCACGAAAGTCTATGAGACTCTTTTCTCCAATGAACCACCAAAAAGTCTGAAGTAGAGCTGTGGCTCAAGTGGTAGAGCCTCAGCCTGAGTGAAAAATCTAATCGAGAGCAAGAGGTCCTGAGTTCAAGTTACAAAAATATTTTTATCCTAAGTAATAATTTTGCAATTCAATGGAAATGAGAAAATATTTGCACTTAATGATAATTGAAACATTGCATATCAATTGGGGGGAGTAAAACACGGTGCGGCTGTATTACATATAGAGGGATATTTATAACATGAAATATGCATATTAGAAGAAAAGGAGTACTGAAAAGTAATGATTGAGGCAGCTAGTTTCAGAATATGGAAGAAGACCAAAAAGTAAACCAAATAAAATTAGGAACAAGGAGACATAAATATAAGACCAGGAGTTGATGAAATAGAAAACAAACATACAGAAATAGAGGGTCAAAGAGTGAACAAATGCAGTAGTGGTTCTCAGTAAATATGTTGAAAATGAACTATATACATATATATAAATTCTCAGTAAAATAAATCATGTAAAAGCTGAAACACAATTAGTATTTATTAAGTATTCTTTTACTTGGTCCAGGAGGAGATTGAAACCAGGACTTCTTACATGCTATGCAAGTGCTCTACCATTGAGCTGCCCTCCCTCCCTCCCTTCCTTTCCCTTCTTCCCTCTCTTCCCTCCTTTCCTCCCTCCCTTTCCTCCTTCCCTTGCCTCCCTTCCTCCTTCCTTTCCCTCCCTTCCTCCCTCCCTTCCTTTGCTCTCTGCTTCCCTCCCTCCCTCCCTCCCTCCCTCCCTCCCTCCCTCCCTTCCTTCCTCCCTCCCTTCCTTCCTTCCTTCCTTCCTTCCTTCCTTCCTT